CTTTGCTCTTCAACATTTTAAAAAGGTCTTGTGGTACAGATTTGCCTAATGCAATACATTATTTGATTTCTTGACTGCTGCTTCCATGAGTGTTGATAGTTGATGCAAGAAGTATGAAGTCCTTGATAACTTCAATCTTTTCTCTACTGATAAGAATGTTGTTTATTGGTCCAGTGGTGAGGACTTTTGTTTTCGTTACATTGAGATGAATCCATACTGAAGGCTGTGCTCTTTGGTCTTCATAAGTAAATATTTTAAGTCCTCTTCACTTTCAGCAAGCAAGGTTGTATCATCTGCATATTGCAGGTTGTTAATGAGTCTTCCTCCAATCCTGATGCCATGTTTTTCTTCATATAACCCAGTTTCTTGTATTATTTGCTCAGCATACAGGTTGAATAAGTATGGTGAAAGAATACAACCCTGTCACACACCTTTCTTAATTTTAAACCATTCACTGTTCCCATGTTTTGTTTGAACAACTGCCTCTTGGTCCAGGTACAGATTCCTCATGAGCACAATGAAGTGTTCTGGAATACTCATACTTCGCAGTGTTGTTCATAGTTTGTCATGATCCACACAATCGAAAGCCTTTGCATAGTCAATAAAACACAGGTAAAGATCTTTCTGATATTCTCTGCTTTCAACCAAGATCCATCAGACATCAGCAATGATATCTCTCATTCCACATCCTCTTCTGAATCTGGCTTGAACCTCTGGAAGTTCTCTATGAATGTATGCGTACAGCCGTTTCTGTATTACCTTTAGTAAAATTTACTTACATGGGATATCAAAGAGATTGTCCGATGATTTCTGCATTCCATTGGGTCACCTCTCTTTGGAATGGACACAGATACGGATCTCTTCCAATCAGTCGGCCAGACAGCTGTCTTCCAAATTTCTTGGCATAGATGAGTGCATGCCTCCTGTGCCACCTCACTTTCTTGAAAGATTTCAAATTTTATCTCATCAATTCTTTGCCAATTCCTTTTTTGTGTGTCACACATTGGTGTAACTTTGTGTCCTAATTTATCCACTTTGTCTCCTAATATCCCCCATGGCCCAAATATGCCTAACCCTAAAACTGCTGTCCTTCCTGAAAGAGTCCTACTAACTGCATTCTCTTTTTTTTACTGGCAGTGGGCGTGATGAGTCATGATGAGCTGCGCTGGTTGGCTGTTTCCAGTTGGTCTCCACAGCATGAGTTCATGGCAAAGCTGGCTTTATAGCTAACTTGATTTTGAGGGCTGTTGGGAGTGAGCAGGACAATTATAATCCTGAGGTTTGCTGGGCTTTTTTCTAGGGAGCAGTTTTCTCTGTGCCAAATTAACTGGTCTGTATTGGTGATCCACAGATGAGACAACGTACAGACTGATAGGTTAGTAGCAAAATGAACACTTTATTTTCTAACAGAATTCAAAGTCCACTTAACAGGATGTTGTAGTAAGTACTTGCACACTGAGGCAGAACAAACTAGATGCAATTTACTTTCCCCACCTCAAGTTCACATCATTCTTTTTGAAAATGCACAGAATAGTTAGTACTAGTATCAGAGGCTGAAATGGCAAGTAGGAAATAAAATCCAATTACAAAAGCAGTTTGGGGGCTTATTTTCTCCATACATTTATTTACTCATAATTACATCTTGTAAATGGTCTAATAGATAACTATGGGTAAATTATTTATTTACTTATTCACAATTTTTTTAAAGCTACTTCTGCTAGTTGGTAAAGAAGGGAAGGGATTTTTTGGTGGGGGAGTGGCTGCTTTGTTAATTTCAGACTAAGGGAAAGCTTTGAAGTGTCTGGCCTGCTATTTTTCACACAAGTGGATTGACTTACGGCTTCTATTGTTTGATAAATAAGGAGTTGGAACAAATGAATCGCACAAACACAATGATAAGCAAAGAAAGTCATACAAAAGACTACATACATACTATAAGATTTCATTTACATGAAGTTCAAGAACAGGTAAAATAACCTATGGTGGTGGAAATGACAAAAGGTGTTGGGGTGGGAGCAGTATTGATTGGGAAGGGGAGTGAGGCATTTTCTAGAGTGTTTTAAAAGTTCTATAACTTGATCTAAGTGGTGGTGGTTGTTAAGTGCCAGGGAGTTGGTTCTGACTCATATAGACTGGTGGGTTTGAACCATCAACCTTATGGTTAGTAATCCACTGCTTATCCTAAAGCACCACACCAGGACTTCAAGTGGTGGTTACACCGGTGCATATGTATGTAAAATTCACCAAGCTGCATTGTTAGAATTTGTGTACGTTACAGTATGTATGTTATTTTCTAATTATAATTTAAATTAACAGTAGACAATTTTAATATAAGAGGTTTGATAGCAAACAGATTTTTTATTTCTAAGTTTCCAAAAATTTTGAAATTTTATAAATTATTTCCCCCATCACTTTTTTATCTTCCCCCTCTCTGCCTTTCCTTCCCAGCTTAACTAGTTAGATTAATGTTGCAATATCATGCATATTGTAACTGTTAAAATATTGTAAAGCAGGGTGTGGAAGCAATAAAACTCTATTAAGATCAGGTTAGGCCTTTAAAACTGCCATGATTCTTTTCTCTCACATGGCATCTCTCATCTCTTTTTTTTTTTTTTTTAAGTTTGAATCTAAGGAATTTTGCATGCTGTAGGTTGACATTTACTTAATAGCATCTTTTCCTAAGAATCTATTTTCTAAATTAACAAAATCAAGAACAGTAACTTGATGGTATTTCTTTGAACATCTGGCTCACTTCCAAAAAGAAGGATTACAATCCCTTTCTTAGCCCCCGCCCCCCCAAAAAAAGCAGATAGCAAACCCTCTTGGTCACCTTTAGCGTGTTTCAAATTTTTGTAAATCTTTCACATACCACTCTTATTGCCAAAACAAAACAAACAACCATCCCACCAAATCTATAGCCGCAATTTGTAATTTTGCATTTCTCTTTTGTTGCTAAAATTTCATGTTTGGGGTCTTCTTTCTAAACCATGAAAAAGAAAAGGTGTATACTCTTCAAGTCAGGTTTAACTTCCGAAGATATTTTAGAATGGAATCAGAGGAACAGAAAAGGTTTACGGACTACAGTACGTAAGCACACAGTAGGTATTTATACATCAACACACATTTCTTTAAAATAAGACCAGTAATACAGTAAAAAATATTATGCAAGAGAATACACTAAGACGACTTCTGACCTGCCTTCCTCTCATTCCCAAAAGATTTACATGTTAAAAAAAAAAAAGGAGGGGGGATGCAAAGTGGGAGTTAGAAAGGTGGAGAGAGAAACATGGAAAATGAGCTATACAAACAAGGTAAGAAATACGGAGTCAGAAAGGTGGAGTGAGAAACATGGTGCCTACCGAACGCGAGCGCTTTCCATGACATTGAGAGGCACTTAGCCGCCTTTTTTCCATTCCGCTGCCCCCAGCTTGCCCGCGAAGCTGCGTTACCTGACGCAGTTGGCTGCGCCCTCAGCTTGGAACGAGAGTGCGGGGCTGGGGCTGCGGAGGAAAGTGAGGGCCGGCCACAGGTGCGGAAGTGGCAGACTTTTTTCTGCGGAAAGCAATCTGCTGCGCGGAAAGGGCGGAAAGCCACAGCGCGCGGGTCTGGAGCCTGCGGGGTCCCGGGCACTCTCGCGATCGCCCCAGGGCCCTCTAATTAGAGACAGGATGGATGAAGGGTGCATTAGTTCCCAAACGTTTTACTCGAGCCTCTTTTCAATAGCTCGGGATAAATGTAGCCACTGTTACTCTGTGCTGAATGGATCGCAAAGGCCCCCGCCCGGCCCCCAGCGTGACCATTCAGGACTCTTTTCACAACCCCTAAGCGGTTCAGTCCCTGGGCCTAGCGACACTCCAGAGCGCTCCTAATTAGTCTAATTAGAAAGGTGGGTTGGAAAGAAGACAGCGTTAGATTAAGGAAATGCTCAATGCTGCCCATCTCGGTTGGGTTGCCGCTTATTCTCTCCGCAAAGAAAAGGACGCAAAGGAGGAGGTTGGAGCGGGCGCCCGTCCGCGCCGAGTCACAGCTCCGGACGGGCCTGAGATGGGCGGGCAGGCACCTCCCCCGGTCAGCGCCCGGTCCCGCTGGCGGGAACCTCCAGCTTCCCCGGGGGAAGGGGGGAGGCGAGTAGCCGGCTCCGGGTCGAGCTTCCAGGCCTGTACCGAGGAGTCCGAGCCGCCGGGCCAGAGGGCTCGGGCTCTGGCAACGACGGCACAGGAGGAGCGCACCCGGCTCCTCCCCGGGAAAAGCGCGCGGAGGGCGCGGACCGCTTGGCGGTGGCCGGAAGGTCGGTGCGGGTTTCCGCCTCCGGCCTTGCCACGTGGCCGCCGCGGCTGTTCTCCGAACCCCCAGGAGGAGTCAGCTCTGATGTGGGGACGAGGCCTAATTGTGCGTGGCTGTTGGGTAGCGCGAGGGAGCGTTTTCTGCCCTTCTCTTGACACTGGCCGGTCACCCCAACGCCGCCCTCGGAGTCGGGGCTCTGGCGGGGTGCGGGCCTACGTGGCCTCGGCTCTGCCTCCCGGTCCGGCTCGCGCATTCCTTCACCCGTCGCCGCAGTCGGCGGGAGGTGGCGAGGGGCGCGGCGAGGGTGTTTTCGAGAACACTGAACCTTTAATTGGACTATAAATCAAGGGAGTGCGGTGGAATTTGTGCAGGTGTAAAAACAGAGGGGGAAGCCCGGACCGAGTAGCCAGAGCGCCCGGGCAGGTCAGAACCTCGGCAGACGAACATCCTGATAAGTCGGCTGACAACTAAATAAACAGTGGAGAGGGCCGGCCAGGCCGGGACCGCGCTCGCCGGCGGCCCGCGCGCAGCAGCTCGGTGGCCGTCTGCTAGGAGGAGGCAGGCCGCTCTCGGCTGTTATTTTTGTTTTGGGGGCTCCAGCAGCTAGAAAAAGAAAATTATCTTCCTTTCCGCCCTCCCTTCTCCAGAGTCAGATTCTGGTGGGCAGAGGGTCCGGGGATTGTTTGACTGTGAGAGTTTGCGAAATGCGCGATGCCTCACCCGCCGCGGCTACCCCCAGGCCGTTGCGCATCCGACGCACGGCCCTGGGTGACAGAGCAGAGAGGAGCCAGTCTCTGCGCGCCCCCACTTCCAGGCACGTTGCCACCCAGAGACACCCCACTACTACTCCGTTTCATTTCAGGGATTAACGCTGGGAAATGCTGTCGGGCCCCAGGTCGAAGGAGGTTATAACTCGAGTAGAAAGAGCGATCGGAAATTAATCGAGTACACTACTCAGAAGCGAAACCCTGTCAAAACTCTATCGTACAAGCGGCGAATGGATTCACAGACAAAGGAAAACAATACAAGTCTCGTTAGATCATTTTTCTGGACATTGTTTAAGGTCTGAAAGGGACCAAATCGCTTCAAAATGTTGCCAGCAAAAATTATTTTATGTGGAATGCAACTAATCCTTTTAGGTTTTTGTCAATTGTTTCCACAAAAGGAATCCGTTTTTTCAAATGAAAGATCCAAAAGTCTTTGGGGAGAGATTTATTACATGCCAAAGTTTTAGTTACAGCGTAGAGTTACAATAACAACCCGCACCCACCAACTCCCTAAAATAAAGGATCTCATCCCACATCACTCTAAAGACGTGTGGGAGTTCGTTTGCTGGGGTTTTACTAGGCTTACAGTTGGGGGGGGGGCAGGAGGGAGGGAAAGAGGAGGATGGCAAAGAAATGTGAAATCCCTTAAATAGAAAAAACGGAATACCGAGTGGCAGCATTTCATTTTTGTCTTATGTACCCTTGGTTATTTCTGGATTTAAAAAAAAAAGACCTAAACTTGGTGAGTTGACCTCAGTTCCTTTGTGCAAACAAAGGTGAAGTTAATCCTTGAATTAAATGAGGAAGAACTCTTGGGTGTTTGTGCACCCCCACTGGTCCAAAGCCTGGATGCCTCTGCATGCTGAAGATATGCCTACAATGTGTACAATTGGAAAAATAACTTATTTTAAAGTCCATAGAATAATACAAGAGAAATACACTGTGCTATATTTTTATTTTCTTTGATTTGTAATAAAATATTTCCATATGAATAAAAACTGTTCTCCAGTGTTCTACTGCCTCACTGTATTTAACTCTTTACAAGCCCGTGTGAATATAAATTCATTCTGAATAAATTTTGTCCTATGGACCCTTGGTTCATAGTGGTATCAGCATTTTATAATAGGCTAATTACAAACCCATCCCAACCCCTTTTCCAGGTCAAGACTGGTGTCTGGGGGCAAAATGTGATCTGTAAGTTTTTGTTAAAGCCTCAAAAGTTCATAGTTCTTTATATTGGAGGGCTTCTTCCACTGAACTGTTTGTATACCACATAGGCACTTGGGTGGTTTCAGCATTTTGTGAGTAAATCAACCACATCAGAAAATACTGTCAAGAAACCCACAACTTCACTTTAGTTTACATACTAGCAAGATTTTTGGTGATAAAATGAAAATGTCTCATTTAATGGAGAAATTATCAAATGATCTTCAATAGCCTATCTCTGACCCCTTTGTTTCCTGCTAAAATGGTTGCTCCTCTTGTTCCATGAACCCATTCTTTTATTACTGGAGGCAGCTTGATGGCAGGAATTCCTTAATTTGTTTCCTACATTTAAAGAGCGAATAAAAGGATTTGCAATATAGCAGGTGCTCAATAAATACAGCAGACTAATCCCACTTTTCAAAGCTTAGGGGCTAAAGAGATGCTCAGTAGATAAATAAGTAAAGGAAAGAAACAGAGCAAGAGACTAGAAGAGTGGGTTTAAAACACTATCGGTTTGTTTATTTAAGAAGGGAGGGGTAAGTTATCTGTCCAACTACACCTCTGGTGGAAGAAAGAGAAAACACAATGCTATCTCTTTTCTCCTCATTATTCCTAGAAAGGGTTAAGTAACTATTTCATAAATAGAATAGGGATTTTGAAGGGAAAAAAGTGAGTCCTATATATATGGCCAAATGTTTCTCTCAATGAACTTACGGATTTAGGTATGTTGTTTAAAGACTTACAGCAGCACTGTATAGAGAGAAAGCCTCATCTTTCTCAGAGGGCTCAAACCTCTGACCTTGTGTTTAGCAGTCCAGAAATTGAGGTATATAATTTTCCAAAGTTTAAAAGTTCCATTTTGTTTTTCCGAAGGGAATGTGGGAAAAAAGCTACAAAAGGATCTGAATTCTTTATATTTCTGTAGATACTATGTTTTTGTTAGTATTTTGAAATTATCTTTTTAGTCTCAGAACCACCACCACCACCACCACCACCCCCCAAAAAAACAAACAAACCTGTGAATGAGTGTAAAAACTGATCTAACATTTCATCCCAGCCTGTCTTCTCTTGCAAGGTTTGGAGACATTTCCATTTGTGATTCTTTTTTTCTTGCGCTCCTTCAAAAACGCGCTCCTTCAAAACCGATCTTCTAACAGAAGGCAATCTTGTCAGTAATTTTCACATAAGTGAGACTCTTTGAATAAAAATAAAATCAGAGATAGAAAATCAAGTTCTTTTTCATTCATTAATAGTTTTCATACAGACTTTCAAAGAAAATGTTTCACTTACATTTATTGTTGGAAATATCTGCCTTTTATATTAACAGAAATTCCTGTTCTATATTCCAAGTATTCAAAGAGGCTCTGCTCCCTGCTGTAATTAATCTTTGCCCTCCTTCCCCTCTTTTTCTTTGCCAGCTCGTTATTGATCCATAGTACAAGTACCCAAGAATTCCCTGGCTTCTGGTCCACCACCTGGTTGTGCCTGGCTCCTCTTACAGCTCTAATTCATGACTGCAGATATTCTTCCTAAGAGCAGTATCCTATATACGAGGATACGATCTTGAAAAATAAAACTGCTCTCACTATTGTGAACCTTCCTCTGCTTTCAAATTCAGAATTAGAATTCTCCAGGTCCTTTAAATAAAACTTCTGATACTAATTGTTTTGTTCTGTTTTGATTTTGCTTTTTATCTCTCTCTACTAGAATGAATTTTTGTTATCTGATAAAGTCTAGAATTTTAAAACTTTCTGATTAAAATGAAAAACACCTTTTTCTGTAGAAAATCAATGTTCTCGCACATCAAACACTGTCCTTTGGAAAAATCACCATATGTTCACACACTTTCCTTTGCAGTCTACACGTCAGAAGGAATCAGCCAGGATCCCTGCACTGACTCCATCCAGTGTGGGTGATCTTAGAGAGGGACAAAGCAGCCCAGGCCCTGCCTAAGAAGGTTGGAGTCCCTTCCCTGAAGCTTCAGGTGCCAACAGGCAGCGATGAACCAGAGGTGTCTGGGATCCCTTCTTCCCCAAAAGCATTTTAGGGAGACTTCTTGCAGGGCAGGTCCGGGTTCCAGGTGGCACTGCCACTTGGGAGGCTCCTGTGCAGAGGATTAATAGTACAGGGGCTAAAAGTGCCAACCTAAGTCACATCATAGGCAGCTATTCAAAGAATGAAAACAGTACAAAGCAATATGTTTTGAGTACATTTATTGTATGTGTTAGGGGAAGAGTTGTACTTGGCAAAATGTTTTGCTTTCTCATGAATTGTTAAATCACTTGATCCTTTTCCCTTTAGCACATGGGGAGGATGTGTCCTTTTGGCTATTACAGGTAAAGGCCTGCTTAGTAGTTTAGCAAAATGTTCTAAACTGGAAGGTTAGAAAGCCATAAAAAATCAGCCCAAGAAGAAGAAGGAATTGGTAAATAATGAGTTGTGTGTGTGCATGTATCATGTTTTAAAGCAAATCGGTGATGCACACACACATACACACACAAAAAAAAGAGGACTAGGAGAGGATGCTAAGAGATGAGAGGGAGAAGACCTAGTTGAAAATGAAACAAAAGAAAAAGTGTAAGAAATAAATGATTCTGTACAGTGACCTCTAAAGCAACTGCCATGCCACACTGAGTGTCTAATAAATCACAATGACAACAAAGTGGCAGTGTGGTAGAATGGGAATCAAATGGGATTTGAATGCTTAAGTCCCAATAGCTGTAACCTTAGGCAAATCACTTCAGCTCTTCTGAGCCTTGATATCTTACTTTGGAAAATGGAGTCAATACTAATTCTTACCCTCACTATTTTAGGGTACAGTTGAAAGAAACGAGCAGTGAACGAACGGCCTTTTAAAACATTAACGTAGGATGAGGCTAGTGACTGGAATAGGCAGGAAAGGTTTTCAGGTGATGCTGGAAATATTCTCTGCTTCGTGACCTGATGCTGGTAATGCTGGTTTGCTCATTTTGTGGAAAGCCATGCACCTTTCTGTAGGCCTAGTTCCATCAAATCTTTCATTTAAAAAGTTAGAGTAGCTAAAAATAGTATTTTTAAGTCAGACTGATGATGCTAATGATGAAGAAAAATAAAAGTCAGAGCTCACTGTCTTTACCCTTATTTCTCTCCCTAGCCATGCCATCACACCAGAACTCAGGTCTCCAAAAAAGGAGCAATGATAACATGGAGTTGTTTTCTCTGTGTTTACTGCTTGTTCCTGACTAGTATCTTCCTGATAAAGCAGCAGGAGGAATGAACCAGGAAGTTTCCTGCATGCCAGAGGGACCAACAATAGAAAAAAGAAAGGCGCCGGAGCTGTTCACATCAAGGGAAATATATGATTAGAGAGATGTGACATGCGAAGAAATTATCTGAAAAGTGAATTCAGTTGAGAAAGTATAAGTCCCAAAGAGCCCTGAGCAGCTGGTCATAATCAGAATCTTCATCTTCCTGTCAAATGTAATCGGATCCCAGTTGGCAGGGTATTTATTGCTAAAGTCGAAGGGCCAGATTTTACACTAAACATATTTACACATTTACATTCATGGCCCTATAAACACAGCACGTTTCACTGGCCGTGATATCAAACACACTTACCAACAAAAACCATATGCCTAATTACAAAATCACAGAGGTGAAGGGAGGCCGTGGCAGCTGATGGGCAAGGAGCTTGTATGCTTTCATGTGTGTATATGTGTGACCCAGCTGCACTACCGGGAAACGGGCAGAGACATAAAGGGATCCAGACAGTGCTGGGCCCACATTACTTGTCTTCTGCTCCCCAGGCCTGTCCTTGGTCTGGTCACATTCTAAGTGGGGCAAGAGGACCCCTGGCATTCCAACTAGACCTGTGAGCAGCTCCTGGACAGATTTCTGATTTGGATTGAGTTTGATGCTTCTGTGACCTTAAGGTTGCCCCCAATGACTTTTCTCAGTCAGCAATAAAAGCAGGTATAAGCAAAATCTGTAGCCAACAAGAGAATTTTTAAACTAGAGTCCTTGATTCCTGGCTTTGGATAGCAAGCTCAGTTCTCAACCCATCAATGGCAGTTGTGATAACACTGTTAGTTGCTCCAAGCTTGGTCCCCCGGTCAAGCAAGGAAATCGGAGCCACCAGGGCTAGGAAGGGGAGGTGGGGGGAGGGAAGAGGCACAGCCTCAACCACTGGCCTCAGACTGCCTTTAATAAATGACACCGCCTGGTAGTCCATCAAAATAATCACCTTCCATGCAAATAGCCACCTCCTCCAGCTCTCTCAGAGGACTGGCTACAGGAAGAAATGGCAAGTTTAAAAAAGAAGAAGAAAAAAAAGGGCAGAAGCCTTCCCCTGAGATGCTGCTGCATACATTCCCTGTAAGAATTTAAAAATTAAGTATATCCGAAATTCCAAATCCAGTTCCATTTATTTAAAAGCCACTGGAGGCCTGGTATGGCACTGTAGGATATTGCAGTGGACCACAAGATTGGTTTGAATATCTAGGTCTCAGTGGTTCAAACTCACCAGCTGCTCCTCAGAAACCCTATACAGGGTTGCTATGTATCAGAATCAACTTGATGACATTTAACAACAACAGCCCTTCTCTGAAAAACAGAAAAGGAAAAGAAATGGGTAGGAGAAAGGGTGTGGAAAGTAAAGACCTTTCCCATTTTTTCATCCTCAGAGTCATCTGTATGTTGAGAAAAAATGTACAAACATGCGTTTGTACATATATGATCCGCAAACAAAAAATTTTTTGAGAAAGGTCTTCACTTTTTTTTATTTCTCCCATCTGTTTTCCTTTTTTTAAAGAGGGAAGTGGCTCCTAACTATATGCACAGGATGGGGATGGTGAAAATATGTTGTTGGGCAGAAGGACAGCTTCTTGGTTTAAAGAAATAAAATAATTACTGAAGAGAGAAAAAAGAAATCAACCAAGAAACGATCTAAGGTCATGACACCATGTGTGGTACAAGGAGCAATTCAATCCATAAGGGCTTCATTACTCCCGCAATAGATAACATTTGGCTAAATCTAGCTGCAGATTAAATCCCCGCAGCACAACAGAGTTCTGAATGGAGAGGCTCCTTTTTGTGTGGTCCTTCTCCGGGAACTGCCTGAACCATTAGCCCCAATATCTCCCTTTCCCTATTAACTGCAATTCCTTCCCAACTGCGCTCCGGTCATTTGTCTCCAGGCTCTACGGGAGCGTTTGATGAGCAGAGAAACAAGGAGATGAGGAGAAAAGCTTCGGGTTAATGAATTGTAGCAAATCCACACTTTGTAGTTGGGAGGAGGAGAGCTGGTGGCCAATGTTTGTCCAACTGGTTTATTTTTCAAGACCCAATCTATTGGGAAAGACTTGTTCAAGCAGGCTTGGTCCCTACAAATACACAAACATCCTTCTGTTTGCCTTCAAAGAAAGGGAGACCAGTGCTGGATTTGCATGCGAATGAGAAGCCGCAGGAGGAGACGTCCTTGCCCGTCAAAGGCCTTGGTGGCCTGGCTGCCTTTGTTCCAGCACCTGCTCGCCCGCCTGCCCAGCCAGAGCGCACCCGCACCCAGCGCCCACGGTTCGCTCCTTCCACAGCCCACGCACTCCTCGCCTGCCCGCTAGCCCTTGCCTTGAGGCCCCAAAGATCTACACGTAGTCAGTCTGCGAACCTGGCGCCACTGCCCTTATTTTATCTGTCCGCCTGCCCAGACCGTAGGGCCATCAACTCCACAGCAGCATCGATGCCAGGATTGTGGGGTTGGGAAACCACCTGACGCAAAACTCGCAAATGAGGCAGATCAAGTTGGCTTTCCCTTGTAAGCTCCGGAATTTTTAAGGCTCTGGTGAAGCAGGCCCCCTAACTGTCCAGATACCCAGTTCCTCCTAAGCATACCCCTAAAGGCACTGATAACTTGGGATGGGGAGCCATTCTGACACTTTTTAAGCATCAGAAATCTAAAAAGAGCGAGATTGGTCAAGAATCCTTGCTTTTAAGACATTCATGTATCATGCAAAAGATGTACGCATGGTTTTTGTTCTTTCACTCTCTGTAATTATTTTCAGATCGAAATCTGAGATCGCCACGTTAGAGAAGACTGTGATGTGGACTCTAAGTGGTTCAGGTTCCACCTTGTAACACCACTGCACCCCCAGGGTAAAGGGCGCACTGGGGTATCTGGGAGTTAGCCCCAGCGGTTCAAATGCCTACTCTCTTTCAGCTAGCCTAGGGTAATAATAGCTTTTGCACCTAAGTTTTTGGTCTTATGAGATATTTCAATTTGTATTCACTTATTCAATTGAAATTAAAGGTGACTGTGTTTGCGTTAAACTATTATTCAACCACTTCCAAACGTTTCAGGAAACACACCAACCAACCAGACTTTCATTTTGAAACTGTTTTCCTCTTCAAGAAGGGAGAGCAGGGCAGGCTGTCAAATGTGGATGGCCCTGCAAACCATTGGCCTCAAAGGCGGACTTGATTCATGTACAAGCTTAAAACTGCAGAACTTTATCAAATACTGACCAGACATTTAAAAGAAACTGAGTAAATAGATTTAACCTCTAGTGCACCCCACTTAATACTTAAATTGATTTGGCTTTATTTAAAGCCCACAATGACATCTGTAGCCACCAAAACTAGAGCCTCACCTTTTTCAATAGACTAGAGCCAGTTATTAAAGTTATCAGTTGAAAAAGATATTCTACATCACCCAAATGGTAACATTATAATTAGTAAACACCTGTTGCATTTTCAATTTTATCCTTTCAACCAAATCTATCATAATACTTTTGAAAGTCTTTCCTTACACATCCTGTTACACCTTAAGTTAGAACTTGACTGTAAATTTGCAGTTCAAAACAAGACTTCTTCATGCAATTACTGTCATCTCTTCCATCTTGAAAATAGTAACTTTCAATACTAGGATTTTCAAAGACGTGCGAGCATTTTCTTACAAAGGACTTTAAGGGTATTTAACTGTTGGTCATCTCTATTAAGGTTTTAAACTAAAAATTGTTTTCTTTTGTTGCTTCCATTACAACATAGTATACAACATGAGGTAGCGTTTTTTGAAAGTACAGAAACATACAATACTGTACTAAAAAGTTAGTGGAAATTAAATGAAATGTAAGTCAAAATAAAATTTTAAATTCCTATTAAATCTTAAATTCTTTTTTGCCTTTTAATTTTAAATAGTCTCAATGCTTTTGAAAACGATAAACAATCAGATTCAAAAAGCATACCAAAAATCACTTGCTTTACTTGTAACCATTTAAAAATAACTTCTAATAACCTGGAATGTTTTAAATTTAGTATGTTTAAATGAAAAAAATATATATGGCATGATGCTTTCGAGAAACTCCCTTTGAAAATAATACTTAAGTTTATTCTATACTAAGGATTTTATTTCTCTCACACCAAAACTTTTTGAAGAGCAAAGAAAATAAACTAAGACGCTTATGACTGAAGCCAATTATTTCGGTTGATTTTCTTTGAAAATTAAGCATTTTATTTTTGAAAAAGTGTAAGAATCTTACATTAGAATGGTACAATAATTGCCAGAAAACTTTACAACATTCCTTGTAAAGAATACGCAGTAAGTACAAAATAAAAATTTCGTTATGTCTATTATGATACAAAACACAGGTTAAAATAAGAAACGATCATTTTGACTTTCCTTGTGTAAACATGTTCATCTTTTTTTTTTTTTTTTCCTTTTCATAAAAAGCACACCAGACAAGCGTCCTCAAATTAAAAAAACTATTGCTTCGCTGGCATTCTTCGGGACCTTGGCTATTTTTGTATTCGTCTTCTTTTGAACGTTGATTTTTAAACGCCTGGACCTGAGAATCTCTACACCTCAAAAAGGCTTAATGATTGTGTGTGTGCATGTGTGTGTGTGTTCTCTTCCAAAATGTCAAGGCAGTCCCTGGTGCGTAGACAGATCGAACCGCCACCATCCTCATCCTTCCTCCCCATCCAGGATCCAGGGATGCGGCACTGGGCGACTTTGCATAAATAGAGGGAACCCGCAGAGCTGTTAAGTGCGCCCGAGCTGTTAACAAAATACAGTTTCCTCCGATGATCCGAAGAGGCGAAAATGGGGTCGGTAGGTCTGAAACGGCCTCATAGCGCGATGTGAACAAAACACCAAATCATAAAGATGAAAAAAAGGAGCCGGAGGTTCCTACCTTCTCTCAAGCACGCTAACAGAGCTTGATTAACAGTTTGAAATCCTAGCGGTAAAGTTCTCGACACTGGACAGGGCAGTCCCTTGGTGCAGAGTACCCAGGGCGGCCGACGAGGAGACCGAGGAGGCAGCGGCGGCAGCGGCGGCCACGAGGGAGCGGGTGAGCGCGGCGGCTGGATCCACGGCCGCTTGCGCCGCGCAGCTGCCGCCGGGCGTCGG